ATATATATATATATATATATAGGCAACTCTCTCCTTGTGTCAATCTAGCACCCACTATTTACATCGCCCCTTTTCACTCTAGTTCATATTACCCATATATATATATATATATATATACAAATACATTGTAATTGCAATAGCGATAGAAGAAGAAACAAATCAAATCAGATCAAATCAAATCAAACAATCCATCAAAAAAAAAAAAAAAAAAAAACAAAAAAAAAACTCACCGTGATGGTACTCAGTCTTATTGGTCCCCTGGATAACACCCGTATCCAACGTATTCTCCTCATTGCAGCCTATGCCGGCACCACACTTAAAGTTGTTCCCATCACTGTTGGTGTTGAAAATGAAACCGAGAGTTATCGCCGCAATTGCCATCCCCTCTCCCGAGTTCCCGTATTAAAATCAGATGAGGGATATCTCTTTGAAACACATGCCATTGTTCGTTATATTGCCCGCACGGAACGGCCGTATGGTGCCGATGGCTGTGATCGATATCCATCACCGCAGCATCATGTACCTTATATATTGTATGGAAAGAACGTAAGAGAGGCGGCGGATGTGGACTCGTGGTTGGATTTTATTATGATGGAAATTGACACTTATGCATTTCCCATTCTCACTGCGGAGAAACAACAACAACCACCGAGACGAACACGTGGTGCGGGTAGTTTAAATAACACTACAACAAGTACAAGTACACCAGCATTATCAGCGGCGGAGTTAAAGCGTTTACAAGAGGGATTGGAAGAAGGACTACGGGGATTGGAACAACGATTGGTGTTTATGAAGGAACTGCGAAAAATTATGGGTTTTGCATCTTCTAACAGTGCACACGCGAATGCGGCGAATGTGAATAATAATAATAATAATAATAATAATAATAATAACAACACTCATCCACTCGGCAGTGCCCGCTCGCTTCCATTGGATGAGTATGAGGATGGATTATCAGAGGAAGAGATGCTCATATCGGCAACCCCACGGGAAAGTACCTTACTACGTGGATCCCACACATATAATATCAAAACACGTATGGAAGTTCCACCAGATGCCAATAACAATAACCAAGATAATAATAATATTAATAACCCAGACAATATGGGGGATGGAAATGTCCTCTCACGTCTCTCCATTCCAACACCGCGACTTTCCATTCCAACACCGCGACCCTCTTCACTTACGCCGCGGGCCTCCAATCTAACACCCCGGCGGAGTGCAAATCCCGCTGCGAGTGATTATCTCTTTCTCGTTGGCGACTCCCTCACCGCTGCGGATCTCGTTGTGGCCTCCGCTGTGAACAACGCACTGCAGGCGAAGTGTGTGCAGGCCACAGCGCGACAGCAATACCCGCAGCTCGTGCGTTATGTGCATAGTGTGCTGCGGCTGCCGGTGGCGGCGGATGTGCGCAAAGCCCTTGGTGTGAGTCTCGTGTAAATATATATATATATATATATATTTATAGAGAGAGAGAGAGGAGCATTGTGTTGTGAATGATGGGGTGTGAACGTAGAGGGAGGGGTGGGAACGAAAAAAAAAAAAATTAAAAAAGAGGGAAATGGAAGAGCAAACAATTAACAAGAAAGAAAGAAAGAAGAATAATAGAAGTAAAAATGAAAAACAAAAAAAAACAAAAAAGAAGAAAGGGAACTTTATATGTACTGGTAGTGGGAGGAGGAGGAGGAGGGACCCAGAGGAGTACTCATAATAACAAGAAGAAGGTAGAATATAAAAAGGCAATCCAAGTAGATTAAAGGCATATATATATATATATATATATATATATATAGTTGTCAAGGATGAGAGACCTAAAAAAAAAAAGGAAAAGAATGGAATGAGGAAGCGTATTTACATAGTTATTTAATTCTAGTTGTTCGTATTTGCCATTGGGTTCTCTTATTATCTTTGGTTTTTTTTTTTTTGTTTAGGTTGGGAGTGGGGTGGAGAAGGGTGGATGGATATAAAGGGGGGAGGTGGTCTGTTGCCGTATTGAAAAGAAAAAAAAAGAAAGAGAAAGAGAAAGAGAGAGATAGTAATGGAAAGTAGTACCACATTTATTATGTACATTGTATAGATACGTGCGTGTGCATGCGTATGTTTACTTCTTCTTTTTTTTTCTTTTCTCTCCCCCCACTCCCACATACACACACACACGCACACACACACTCTCTCTCTCTTTATTTCTTCTTTTTTCCTTCTTTATATTCTCTGGCAGTGTTCGTGAGCGTCTGTCTCTCTGTCTGTTTGTGTTTGTGTGTATCCGGAGATGAAGGTTAAGAGGGAATGATGAATGAGAGTAGATGTGAGTAACCACAAGAAGTGTTATTTTATACAAATTACAATATATATATATATATATATATATATATATGTATTATTTACACTTCTGCTTGCTTTCCTTTTGTGGTGGGGAGTTATAACGCATGTGTGTTCATCGGTATTTTCCTTCTCTTTTTTTTTACTTTTGCTCGTGTGTTTTTTCTTTTTCCTCCCCTTTGGTGTCTATTTTATTTTTTATTTTCTTTTATTATCTTCTTTTCATTCTTCTTGTTCCTCTTTTTGAGCATTGTTATTGTTATATTATTGTTATAACTATTATTATGAGTATTATTACCACTATTATTGATGATGATGATTAGTATTTTTATTATTATTATTATTATTATTATTATTATTATTATTATTATTATTATTAATGACTATCCGTACACTTATCATTTCCCTCTCCCCATATTTGTAGTCTATCGATTCTTGCTATTACTCAACCATAATAGATCATAGCCAAAAAAAAAAAAAAACAATGGACTCTTCCTATTCCTCCTCTACTACTACTACTACTACTACTACTACTACTAATATTACTACTAATACTATTACTAGTGGTGGTAGTTCTTCTTGTAGGAATAATGATGTGGGGAGTATCATTGCTCTCTGTAATGCCCGGGCGGTGGATGCACAACTCCTGCATAATAGCAGTGAGTCCACGGCCGCGGCTCGTCTACGTCGTAGTTATTTTCACATCCGTACAGCCCGTGTGTGTACAGCTATTGCAATAGTCTCTGCTGCTGCTGTTGCTCTCTTGGCATCCTGGCAATATCGCCGTATTTACCGTGTATGGCGATTGCGATATCCCAGTCGTGTGTTGGGGCAACAGCGGCTTATGTGCACTCTCGCCATTGGCAGTGGGAGTTTGTTGTTGTGGTTGTTTAGTCCATTTGGCTCCACCGCGCGGTGTGAGTTGTGTTGGCGAGATGTGCGTCGACTGGATGAGATTGCAATGCAGGCACTTGTGTTGAGGCAGCGGTATGAGGAAATAGCGGCGGAGATGAGTGTGGGGACTGAGAGAACGGCGGGTGGGAAGAAATATGAGGAGTGTGAGGAGATGTGGGAGGCGTTAATGCGGCATCGTCTGGTGCTGGATGATAATGTGTAGAAGAGGAAGAAGAAGAAGAAAGAGGGGTGTATTCAGGATGAATCTATTTATTTATTTATTTTTGCTTTCTTTGTGTGTTTGTGTTTGTTTTATTTTATTTCTTCTGCATTCTTTCTCTCTTTCTCTTTCTCTCTGTTTATATATATATATATATATATGTTTATATTTATATTTCTCCTTCTTTCTTTATACACATTTGCCCCTTCTCCCCTCTCTGGCTGTTGCTGCTGTTATTATTAGGTGATAAGGTCAAGACAATAACAACAAATATATATATATATAAAAAGATAATAAGAACGATTTGGAACACTTACAGTATTTTGGAAAGAGAAAGAGAAGAAGGAAAGGAAGAAGATAAATAAGGGATAGTTACTTTTGTATAGTGGTTAAGTGTTCAAAGGTGGAAAAAAAATAAAAAAAAAACTCACGCAAACAGTTGTAAAGGCGGGGAGGTATCACGAAAAACAGGTGAGTGAGTAAACAACAACGAAACAGGAAAGAAGAAAACCCCAAACAAACAAAAAAAAAGGAAGGAAAAACAAAAAAAAAGAAGAAAAGCAAAGCAAAAGAAACGGAAAAGAAAAGAAAAAAAGGAGATTTCTATCTATCTATCTATCTATTTATTTATCTATCTACGTTAAGCTCCTTGTTACCACAATTACTGACTTTTGTTTTTGCACTTGTTGTGCTTAAAGTTCTGCAATGAGCGGTGAGAATTCAAAGTGGGGTTTAGATCGGATTCTTGCTGAGGTGGCAGCCATTAACAAAGAGCAGGTCTCTGGCGGTGGGAACAGAGATGGGAGAAGTGAATTCTCCTCCGATGGAAACAACAGCAACAACAACAATAACACTAATATTATGATTAGTAATAATAATAATAATGATAATCATAATAATAATAATGATAATAATAATAATAGTAGTAGTAATAATAATAGTAATAGCACGTCCGCTTGTATTGCTGTTTCCACCACTCAAACATCTCTGCCCTGTCTCTCACCGTTTCCGTCTTATCTTGAGACGGATGTTGTGGGTGAGGAAGTACACAATTACACATCGCCGTCTATTCATACAACATCTGCTAATATGGTCTTCTTGACAAATGACAGTACCACAACTCCTCCTATTACTTTGCCAACAACAACAACAACAACAACAACGGGAGTAGCAACAGAGGGATCATCTCTTCGCGGCTACACACCTGTTAAGATGCATACACCACAGGAGTGTCTGATGCCAACCCGTTCCACTTCACCATTCTCTTTGGTGAATGGACTCACACCTTCCAAGGAGAGTGCGACTGCCCTGCGGCTGCAACTTCATCAGTCGTCTACAGATACCAATATGAGGACATCAGGCATAAATGGAAGTGGAAGAGGAGGAGAGCTAGCGAATAACATGACAAGTACACCATCTACACCGTTTTGGCTACAAGTTTCTGGATACTGCAGCAGTACAAGTAATAATAATAATAATAATAATAATAATAATAATAATAGTAGTACTAGTAGTAATGATAACATGAATGCTAATTATAATAATAATAATACTAATACTACTACTACTACTACTACTACTACTAATAATAATAATAATCTCAGTAGTAATGATACGTTGAATCCACCAAAATCGTTCCTTAACCTCTCTTTGGAAACGCCCATTAACACCGAATTACTTTCTCTCCATTCCCCATCACAAGAAGGGAAATTGATATTGAGCGGTGGGCCGTACACTCTGCAGCGACAACAACAACAACAACAACATCGCACAGATGGTCTTTCTCAGGCCAGAACCACAAGAGGGAATGTTTTGCAACAACAACAACAACAACAACAGCAGCAGCAGCAGCAGCAGGAACATCATCTTCCATATGTTGTTTTCTGTCAATCTTTTCCAGAGGATGTTCATGATACTTACGTGATATCACCTACCTCTATGGATCCCAGGAATTGTCAAGGTATCAAATCTATACCTGAGAAGAATAGTACGATGCTTACAGATGTGAAGAGTAATTTTCGAGGTATTACACAAACACCGACGTGTTTCTTTTCAGAAGAGAGTGGAACTACTGGTTTGAATGGTGGTTCCCCAACACTTTTGCCCTTAAGTAGAGAACTGGGAAATGCTTCTCGAGCTCTCAGCATTAACTCCACCCTTACCCGTCATTCATCTCAGAGAAATCCTACACAACAACAACAACAACAACAACAATCGGTTCCACTTCCGTTGGTCTCTGCTGGTTCCTGCAATCGTCAACGTTCATCCATGGCTCTCTCGGAACGTCGGTGTAATCCACAGAGTTGTACACCAGCAGCAGCAACAACAACAACAACATCAGTCACAACAACGCCAACCATAACTGCAAGACAACGTTCTCTTGATATGATGTCGTTAAGAAGATTATCTCAAATTCCCTCACAGTCAGGATCTCTGATAGAACTAGATCTTAGTCAGCAGAGTTGCCGTTCGATGCAATCTATTCTGGAGAGTACACCCTATCATTCATCCACTGTACAGCATATTGTAGGGAAACTTTTACCTGAACTACCACGGGTAATGATGAGTCAACATGGAAACTTTCTTGCGCAAAAACTCTTGCAGATTGCCCCTAATAAAGAACGATTGATGATATTATCGGAGTATCTCTCTGATCATTTGTGTACCATAGCCGTCTCACCTCATGGTAATTACGCCGTGCAGAATCTTATTGATTCTCTCCGATCAGAGAATGAGATTGATCTTGTCTGTAATGCCCTTGGACGGGATGCCCCATTGCTGATGAAGAACCCAAGTGGTTCTCATGTTGTGAATAAACTACTGGAACGTGTACCAGAGCGGGTGAATTTTTTATATAATGCCATTGTGGACCGCACAGTTGAGATTTGTAATGATAAGCAAGGCTGTTGTGTTGTGCAAAATTGTATGAAACTCGCCCCAGCAAGGCAGCAATTACGATTACAACAAGCAGTACTTAATAATGTGGTCCCTCTCGCTACAAGTCCATTTGGAAATTATGTATTAACCCATCTCTTTGAACTTTGTGCTAATTCAGAGAAATTACATGTAGTGGATGAGGCAGCAGCACTTCTCAGTCATATATTAAAGACACTTTGCACAGATAAATTCGCATCTAATGTGGTTGAGATGATTCTACGATATTGCAGTCAACATGTAAAAGTGGATATTTGTCGTATGTTACTTGAGATGTCAGAAGATGAAAAGACGTTAACGGTAAGCCTTACTACCAATACTACCATCAGCAGTCTAAGCAGTAACGGCAGTACTAAGAATAATAATAATAATAATAATAATAATAATAATAGTGGTAACCCTCATTGTGAGTCTTCCACACTTTCTACCATCACATGTAATCAGTATGGTAATTATGTGGTGCAAACCATGCTTAAATCCTTACCTGTTGGACCAGAACTTGTACACTTGGTTAAAGCCCTTGAAAAACTTTTTCCATTACTACAGGGAACACGTTTTGGAAAACATGTAATGACGAGAGTGGAAGAGGCACGTGCGCGTATTAAATCGTGTGAACAACAACGAGCTTATGAATCTCTGGATGATCTCTTTTTTCCTGGTACTCCTGCAGAGGCTGTGGCATCTTCCCACACCAGTACTCTCAAATCCTTCCCAGACTCATTCACACTACCACAGCAGCAACAACAACAACAGAAACGAAAACAATCGCCGACAAGATCGACATTGGCATTTTCACATAATGCCAGTAAAGTTGCTGCTTATGGATTAGGTGGTTTTTCTTTTTTTTGATCGGGCATCTAATTCCTTTACGCCGTCTCTACCATTACATGGACAACAACAACAACAGCAGCAGCGTCCTGATGTATTCCATTCGAGTCTATTGACACAACCAGAAGAACAAATACAACAGAGCAGTCGATACAGAAGTCGAAAGGATACGCGATTAAGGTAAAAGTAACAGAAGGGGGGTGGGCATCAACGAAGAAAAGAAAAAGGAAAGAAAGAAAAATGGAAATTACACTATGAATTATTTTACGGAATGAGTGGAAAGAGGGAGAAGGAACGATCTTGGTGATAATGCCGGGGGCAAGGAATGAAGAAAACAGGGGAATGAAGAGGAATGGGAGGAAAGTTAGGAAAGATAAAAAAAAAAAAAAAAAAACTAACTTTACTCCTTTCTTTAATAAGAAGAGGAAAAAAGAACCACATTCTTTCTTTCTTTCCTTCTTTATGTGAATGTATTGTATGGGTGTCAGGAAGTATTATTATTATTATTATTATTATTATTATTATTATTATTATTATTTGAGTAAGGCATACACATATCCTGCAATTTCCTATACTTCTTTTTTTTTTTTCTTTCCCCCGTTTTGTGTGACTCTTCTCACTGCTTATGTTAACGTAAGCAAGGAGGGAGTATTCAAAGAGCCAGAAATTGGAAAGACTGTGCCTGTGTGATAGATAGAAAGAATAATCGGAGGGGGTCAATCCCTCCTTTTATTTAAAAAAAAAAATTTGCTTTTCTTCTTTTTTCTATACCTCACTATGGTATTTATATATATATATATCCTTATGGATGGAATTCAGTAGGATAACACCAATCAACATGTCCACTGTGTATAGTTTGGAAGTAAGGATAAAATGCGGCTGGTGTCTGCATTACGTTCCTCTTTTTCTCTATTGTTATTGTTAATGTTGTTCTTCTTTTTTTTTCTTTTACTTTGCGAAAAATGAAAGAGAGAAAATATTTGATTTTATTATAAAGGGAAGGAACAAAAGTACGAGAAATATGTAAACACCCCGTTAGGTGTTATTGTTGTACTATCTTTTTTTTTTTTTGTTTTTTGTTTTTGTTTTTGCTCAGTTGTTTTTATTGCTTTTTATTATACTCTTCTTGCAGAGGCGAACTTCGTATAACCACATATGCTCGTTAAAGAGTATATGTGCTTGTAAACATTCTTTTTCTTTTTTTTTTACTTACACATGCCTTTTGGAGTGATTATATATATATATATATATATATATATATATATATATATATATATATGTGTATATGGGTATAAACAGAGACATTATATATCCATATATTTCTCTTTATCCTTGAGATTTTGTTTTTTTTTTTCTTTTAAGTTTTTTTTCTTTCTTGCGGTTACACATCTACATGCGCGTTTATAATTGGGTGTGGGATGAGCAAAGGAAGTGAGTGAAGTGATATTAGAGGGAATAAGGTTACGGAAGTAGTTTAAACAAAGAAATAAAGTCGGAAAAGAAAAAAAAAAAAGAATTACAAAAACAAGTATTCTCTCTTCTCTAGTTTCTTTCTTTTTTTTTTTTTTAATTCAGTCCTATTGTTTTTGTGTTTGTTGTTTGTTGTTGTTTTTTTTTTTTTTTTTTTTTTACTTGCATTCTTACTATAATTCACTTTTTTTTTTCGGCCTTCTCATAATCTTTCTTTCTTTCATTCTCTCTCTTTCTCTATCTCTTGCTCTTTCAACATGCTTTTTCTTTTTCGTTGGTACTTGTGCGTTCCACTTTCTTTTTTTTTCCTGTTTTTTTTTTTTTACATTCGTTTTGTTCTGTTTTGTTTTGTTTTCTGGTTTTTGGCATTCTTTGTTGTGGAAGGAAATTACATGTGGGTAGTACATAGGGGAAAGAGGGGGAGAAACGGTAAATCACGTGGATCTCTCTCCATATATACATATATGTATATACCTCTCTGCTTGTGTTGTGTGTGTATATATCTGTGTTTGATAGTGGTAGTAATTAGTAATCCCTATTTATACCAATATATATATATATATATATATATATATATATATATATATATATATCGCTCTTCTGCTTCTGCTTCTATATCTTATCCGTCTATTTATCTTGTTTTTTTTTTTTTATTAATTCTTTCTCTGCACATTCTCTCTACCTACCAGATATACAGAGTTTCGCGTAATTTTTATATAGTGAATAAATCTTTAGTCCTGTGGGGAGGGAGAAGGATCCTTAACGTCCAAAGAAGGGAAAGGGGGGAAAGGACGTGTTTAAATATATATCTGTGAATGGAATCCCGATCACACGATAGCCTTGCTTTTTTCTTTTCTCATTTCTTTCGTTTTTTTTTTTTTTTTAGATGAACGCCTTGTGATTATGACACTTGGTGCATTGCTATCCGCTTTCTTGGTTTCTTATCCTTTATTATTATTATTATTATTATTCTATTCACTAAACTTTGCTTGATTCTTCTTTTTATTTCATTCTTTTATTGTTTTTTTTTTTTTGTTGTTGTTGTTGTTCTCTTCAACCGTAGTTGCTGCTTGTAACTGATGTTGTTCCCTTGGGTCATCATGGTTGCAACTATGACGTCTGTGGTCACTCACTCACTTGCGTTGAGTTGTGAGGAAGAAAACAGAAAAAATAAAAATGAAAATAGAAGAAAGAAAATGAAGAAGAGGGAATGAGATAATCTCTCTTTCTTTCTTTTTTTCTTTCTTCCTCTCTGTGTGTTTTAAGCAACATTGATCTGCTGACAAGGGGGAACAGCAGTAGTGAGAGTGAAAGGAAGAAAAGAAGATGTGAGTCGGAGGGAAGTGAGAGAGAGAGAGAGGGGGGGGGGAAGTTTTTAAAAAAACGTGAGGAATTCTGTTTTTTCTTTTATATGTTTTTTTCTTTTTTATCTTTTCTTTTTACCTAAACATGGTTTCGCTTCGATTTTTTATCTTGATATGCGTTTTGGAGCGTGATTATATGGAGATTTTACTTGTATTGACATGCATATTATATATATATATATATACAGAATTTATGATCTATTTTGCCTTCTTTCAACGGCTTCACGAGAATTAGTATTAACATCTCCCACGTATATTCTCCTTGTATTCTTTTTCCCTCTGTCACTATTGCAGCAAACTTGCATTGGGTAGATGTAAGCATATTTAGGAATAGGAAGAGAAAGGTAGGAGAAAGAGAGGGTCTGTGTGTGTGTGTGTGCGTGTGTGTTATGGGAGAAGGGACTGCAGGGGGTGTGGGGAATAATAAAAAGAAAACGAGGAAGAAATTTTGTGTGTGTGTGTGTGTGTGGTTTGAAGGGGGAAGAAAAAAGGCTGCTAATAAACTGAATGAGAAGCCGAAAATGATATTTTGACTTTTGAATTCCTTTGTTACATCCGGATTTTCGGTTTTTTTTTTTTT